GGCGTGGCCGTGCTCGCGGTGCTGGAACTGTCCGTGCGCGTGCGCTTGGCCTTGGCCGCCTTGGTGGGCGTCTTGCCGCTGCTGCTGCTCATGGTGCTGTGCTGCTGTGCGCCCGCGTTCAGGTCGCCGGGCGACGACGACACGCGCTTCTCCTCGTGCGCGGCCTTCACCAGCGCACGGTCCTTCTCCCGTCGCTTCTCCTCCTTCTTGGCCTCCTTCTCCTCCCGCTTACGCTCCTTCTTGCTCCGGCGTGTGTCGCTCCCCTCCGGCACCTTCACCGACTCGCGCAGGTCCGATGCCGAGCTCGTCCTCGTCCTTTTTGTTTCAAGTGCACCACCATCCACACGCGCGCACACACATACACACAGACAATAGACACCGCACACGCGCACGCACACACGCACACGCACGCACCGTGGTAGAACCATAAAGCGAGTAAGCGCACAACAGTCTTGTCCCACAAGCAAGAGGAGTGGCACTAGTGCCCCTCGTGCCATTCGCCTTGCCCCCCCCCCATTCTCTAGAAAGTCTTCGTTTTTCATCGCTTCGTTTTTTCTTTCCCCCCCCCCACGAAGCACGAGAAGAAAGGAAGAGCGTGTGCGGGGGGGGGGTACTCTCGGGTCATGAGGCGGGCGGGATACATGGCTGCAGATGCTTGCTGTCCCCTTTTGTTGGGAGCGATCTTCTTCCTCCTCCCTTTGCGTTCGGCGACCGAATGGGCCGGGTGTTGTAGCCTCGCAAGTCTGTAAAAAGAGCGAAAAGCGCGAGTGCGAAGCGCCTCAAGGGCTCTAATAACGTTGAACCAAAGCAACGGACACTCAAAAATGAAATAGTAAATGAAATGCCAGAATAAATATTTATTCATTTATTTAATTGCCTACTTGTTTTTGATTTTGATTTTATTATCTACACCAAGATGGAAGGGCAGCAGCCAGAGGAACCGACCACCACCAGCACGACTACACAACAGCCAGTACCCCCCCCCCTCCTGGGTCCAATTGAGCTGAGATTTGGGGAGGAGCATAACAATGGTTAATTATTTCATGGAAGGTGGCGGAGGGCGGCCGACCTGGCGAGGCGCTCGTGGGGGCGGACGATACCAACGCGCGTAGCATGCGGTGTGGACGATGCACCAGCGTTCTGCTGCTGCCCAACAAGGCCACCCTCTGCCACCGCCCCGTACCACCCCTACCCGTGCCCTCTCTTTTTCTGCTACTCAAGGCTCAGCCAATGCTGTGCTGGACTCGGGTTGGTGGTGGTTCGTTGACAGTAACCACGCCCCCGACTCTGCAGATAACGTTGCACAAGTCGCGCGGCGGGGAGAACGCCGAGCAGGAGACGCTCGATTGGCACTGGGAGGTGGCCACCATGTGGGAGTTTGAAAACATGTACGCACCCTCCACCAAACCTCTGCATTCGCGCCCGCGCCCGCTCGCCAACGACGACAGCTCATCCATGTGCCAATGCAATAATAATGGGTGGCGTTTCGGGCTCTTGTGTGCAGGGGCTTCAGCAACACCCTCAGCCTTGGCCGGCCAGCCAAGTACCTCACCTGCGCCGACTGCGAGCAGGACGTACGCGCCGCCTCGTCTGTGCTACTGCCGTGCTCGCAGCATTCCATGTTGGAAGGTGGGAGACTGGTGGTGTAAGATGGGTTCTCTCTCTCTCTCTCTTCTCATCTCATCTCATTGGCCATTGGACCCGTGCAGGTGCTGGGGGTGCACTTCCTGGACGAGACCAAGCTCTACGTGGCCGCCTCCCGGGTGGACTACTCCACATGACGTGGTCCTTCTTCGTTCTTTCGTCCAACAGAGTATAGCCCCGGAGTATGGCACAGCAGCGGTACCTGCCGAGGTGTTGTCCACGACAACCGCGCGTGCGGCCCGCTGGGCGTTGCGTGCGGGTGCAACCGAACGCGGCGGCCAAAGCAACGCGCGAAAAGGAAGCCTAAAATACAAAGATAATAAATAAGAAGCTAAGAAAGAGAGCCACAAGGCAGCACGACGTGTTGCTCCCCCCCCCCGACACCACAGCAGCATGGACTTCTCCGGTCGGCCAGGCCTGGCCATTGTCCTCTTCTTGAGCCTCTGCCTGGTTTCCGCTTCTTCGCCGGCAGCAGCGACCTCATCAACATCATCATCATCGGCGTTTGTTGCCGGCGAGCAGTCGCCGGCAGTCCTCCTTCTCCAATGCACATCCATCGTGGCGGCCTATTCCTCCGCTCCTCTTTCTTCTTCGTCCCGTGCGTGCCAGGCCCTGGCCGACCCGTAAAGCACCTCCCCCCCCCTCTCTTCCGCCAAGCAGCTTCGTTCTTTCCTTCGCTCTTTATGTTTTGGCCGCGGCCAGTTACCCCCCCCCACAAAACTTATCTGGTTGGTGTTCAGGTCGGAGGTCCAGGTCAGGCTCTCGGTGCAGCTCGTGACCACCACCACCCCTCCTCACGAAGCGGCTGCCGGCGGCGACCTCCTCACCTTCACCGGTCGCTGTGGGCCAGCCGGCGCCGACGACGAGGAGGCGGGCCTTTTGCGCGCCGAGCTGCCGATCGGGCAAGGCCACAACGCGGTGGGGATCGCCTTCAACGTGTCCCTCCTCCTCCCCTCCTCCTCCTCCTCCGCCTCCCTCCCCGTGTGGGCCGGTACATGTCCCTCTTGTGTGCAATCCTAGGCGGCGGCGGCGGCGGCGGTGGCGGTGCTGACCGTGGTGTGGTCCTCTGTGTGCGTGTGGCTGCGCTGGTGTGGTCGTCATTGGTTGGGGGGGAGCAGGCGAGGAATCGAGCGCGTGGGTGGACCTTGGCGCCAACCAGCAGCAGCAGCACCAGCGGCAGCGGCAGCGGCGGGGCGTAGTGGTGGCGCACCTGCCCGCGGGAGCTCTGGTCGAGGGGCGGCTGCCGGGGTGCTACCCGCTCCTCTCCTTCCGCGCCGCCCTGCTCCGCCGCGAGGGCGAGGGCGGCTCGATCGGGGCTGCTGCCGGACAGTCCGAAGGTGAGGAGGGCTCGCCGCTGCTCAGCAGCAGCCACAGCCGGCGGCAATCCGTCACTGCGCAGTCGGTCTGCGACGATCGCGAGAGGGAGGTCATCGGCCTCGCTAGCGGCCTGGGCGTCACCGGTACTCTCCTCCTCCTCC